AACAGAGCAGGAGTGGAGGTGTGGCTCAAGTAGTAAAGCTCCAGCCTTGAATGGAAAAGTCAAGGGAGAGAGTTGAGGCTCTGAGTTCAAAACGCAGGACACACACACACACACACACACACACGAGTAATCAACCTGATGTTATGTGTATAGACCTTAATAGTTTTAAGGAAAACACCCCACTTCTATGCAAATACTCCTTTGAGAAGGGTGCTGGTATCTGTTTCCCCAGTTCAACTTTCCAGAATGTGCTCAGGCCTGAAAGTCTCCTCTGTGAACTATTTCCTTTTGATTCCCAGGTACTGTGTTAGGTGATCTCTGGGATGAATGTCATACAAAACTCCTTCATGGAAGCTAGCCACCAGTAAGCGCACACCTGTAATCCTAGCTACTCAGGAGGCTGAGATCTAAAGCTAACCACTGGAAGCCAGCCTGGGCAGAAAAGTCTATGAGACTATTCATCTCCAGTGAACCAACAAAAAGCCAGAAGTGGAGCTGTGGCCCAAGTGGTAGAGCACTTGCCTTGAACACAAAACCTCAAGAGTACACCTAGGCCTTGAGTTCAAACCCCAGTATTGGGGAAGGAAGTAAGAGCAAAGGACAAATTCCTGTCCACTTGCAAAGTAAACAGATAAACATACAATCTTAATGCATGTAAAAGAGAAAAATCATACTTGCCACCTTTTCAGAAAAGGATGCACTAAAACTACAGACCCGCAATAAAATCTGAACAAAAGAAATTGAACTACTAGGTCAGAAGTAGCATAAGTATTTCAAGATCAGCATCTAACAGCACCAGACCCCAGGTGCAAAGGTTACTGCTTTTTAATTTTTGAATTTAAGGTATTTAAGTGGTGATTAGGCCTTGTGAGAATAAAGGGAGAAGGAAGGCTGAAGCTAAAATAGTCACAGCTTGGAAGGCAAGAAAATCAAGTCGATTGAATGAATAATACAGAAATTCCTCTGAAGTTTTGCTTAGTTTCCTCCAATGGTAGTCAATTGCAAAATAATAGTACGGTGTCACATGGTTATTGACATCGATATAACGTGCTATTTCCCCAGCTTGTATGTAGAGATAGATACACAGATGCACACACGAGTTTTATTCATTGTTATCACCTGTGTTTGCTTGTGTATCTATTACTACAATTGAGATTATAAGCCAGGTGCCAATGGCTCATGCCTCTTAAGCTATTCAGGAGACTGAGCCCAGACATGCAAATCTGTGAAACTCTTACCTCCATATAACCAGGTACCAGACAGAAGTTGAAGGTGTGGCTTAAGTGGTAGAGCACCAGTCTTGAGGAGAAAAAATCCAGGCAAGAGCTCAAGGCCCTGACTTCAAGTCTCAGTACTGGCAACTTGATAAAGCTCTTATATAGAGTTCTTAGGAATAGTTTTTCATTTGTCTAAAGTAAATACTCAAGAGCTTGTGTGCTAGGTCTTATTATACTTGTGTTTACTTTCTCCAGAAACTACAAAAGTTTCCTTGGGCTGGAGGCATGGCTCAGTTGGTAGAACGCTAGCCAGTAAGCAAAAGTGGCAGGTTCGAGTTCGAGTCCCAGTGTCAGACCAAAAGGAAAAGAGTTTCCTTGAGTTACTGTTTTATGTACGAATATTAAATATTGATTATCGCTGGTACATTAGTAGTTCACTAATCAATATTTGATATCCCACTGGGTGCTGGTGGCTCACACCTGTAATCCTAGCTACTCAGGAGGCCCGAGATCCAAGGATCACAGTTCAGAGCCAGCCTGCACAAGAAAATCCATGAGGCTCTTTATCTCCAGCAAACTACTCAGAAAAAGCCAGAAGTGTCTTTGTGGCTCAAGCGGGAGAGCCCTAGCATTGAGCAAAAGAAGTTCAGAGACAGGGAGGCCCAGGCTCTGAATTCAAGTCCTAGGACCAGCACCAAATATATATATATATATATATATATATATATATATAATTTTGATACCTGGTTTTAGCCATTCCAGTAGGGGTGTGGTAGAAATCTCATTGTGGTTGTCACTTGCATGTCTTTTTTTTTATTATTAATAAGTTTTTTTTTTTATTGTGAAAATACTATTGTGAAAATACTGTACAGAGGGGTTACAATTACATGAGCAAGGTCCCTTGCATTTCTTTAGTGGCTAATAATTTGCGTACATCTCAGTGAAATGTCTGTCTACCTATTTTGCTTATTTTCTAGTTGCATTGTTTTGTGGTAGGGTTGTTGTTTTGATCTTTCTGTTAAATTATGAGAAGTCTATATTCTGCTTACTAGTCCTTTGTTGGCTATGTGACTTGCAAATACTTCCTTTCTGCCTATTGCATGTCTTGTCTTCCTCCTCACAAAACCCTTCATAGAGCAAAAGCTTTTTATCAGGTTTTTATTTCTTCAGCTAGTGCTTTGGGTATTATCCAAAAACTCTGCATAGTCCTAAAGAGGCTCTCCTGTATATTTTCTCTTGTTTCTTCTGTAGAAAGTTCTGTAGTAGAGCTAGACCTGGTAGCGCATATCTTTAATCCCGGTACTCTGCAGACAGGAGCAAGATATTTTAAGGCCAGCTAGGCTATTCTGACATATTCAAGACCAACTTAAGCTGCATAGCAAGATCCAGTAGAGAAAAAAAAGGGGGGAGGGGGGAACAAAGAGAAAACTAAGGGCTGATTCAGTGGTAGAGCACTTGCTAGTATTAAGATATGTCCATGGGGCATACATAAATGGTGTGAACACAAGGCACACACATGAAACAAGAAGAAATCTCTTGGTCCAAACCTCCAAACCTAGAAGAAATGACACCCATTCTACACAACTTCCTACAGAAGAATTTTTGTACATAATCAAACATTTTTCACCTCATAAAATGAAATGAGGGCTGGGAAGGTGGCTCAGTAGTAGAGCGCTTGCCTTGCATGCTCAAGGCCCTGGGTTCGATTCCTCAGCACCACATAAGCAAAAAGAAAAAAGCCGGAAGTGGCGCTGTGGCTCAAGTGGGTAGAGCACTTGCCTTGAGCTGAAGAGCTGAGGGACAGCGCCCAGGCCCAGAGTTCAAGCCCCACTGTCGACAAAAACAGAGATACAGATTGGAAAGGAAAAATAAAATCGACTTCCAGATGACATGATTGTGAAGAAAAGGAAAATTGCAAATAATGAAGCTACTGAAGGGGTAGGAGACCAACAAAGTAGTCAGTTTAGCAAATCTATCATAGTTCTTTCTATATGGTAGCAATAGATAATGTCAAAACTTAAAATACAATACCATTTATAATTTAATGTATAGGTATGGGTGTTACAAAATACATATAGAATCGACATGCTGAAAGCTGTATTTTCCCCAAAAGAAATCATAAATGGAGGTACATACTACATTCATGGCTAGGTAGACTCATTTTAACTTTTCGTTGTTGTTGTTGTTGTTTGTGTTGATACGGGGGCTTGAACTCACCACCTGGATGATGTCTGTGAGCTTTTTTGCTCAAGGCTGGGGCTCTACCACTTGAGCCACAGCTCCACTTCTGGCTTTTTGCTGACTAATTGGAGATAAGCGGCTCACTAACTTTCCTACCTGGGCTGGCTTTGAACTGTGATCCTCAGATCTCAGCCTCTTGAGTTAGAATGACAGGAGGGAGCCATCAGCACCCGATTTAGATTTAACTTCCATGGTACTTCATAAATTGTGGGTAAGCTGCTTCCTGGGAACTAGAGTAGCCAAAACTATTTTGAAAAAGAATATAGTTAGCCAAATGAAAGTATTTTTACTTTTTTTTTTCTGGTCATGGGACTTGAACTCTGGGCCTGAGCGCTGTCCCTGCGCTCTTCAGCTCAAGGCTAGTGCTCTACCACTTGAGCCACAGCGCCACTTCCAGTTTTCTAGTGGTTTATTGGAGATAAGCGTCTCACAGCCTTTCCTGCTTGGGCTGGCTTTGAACCATGATCCTTGGATCTCAGCCTCTTGAATAGCTAGGATGACAGGTGTGAACCACCCAGCTACTTTTTAGGATCTACTGTTTAACTACAATAATTAAGACAGTGAAGTTCTTGAAGAGGCTGACACTGGGAAAGATCTTTTTTTGCTTGTTTCCTTTTTTTTTAGTTTGCTCCACCCCCAGGTTCTTTGCGCAGGTTCAGCAAGTGTTCTCCATCTGTGCTACATCCCCAGCCCAGAATTGACACACTTATCAATGAGATGAAAATATACCTCAAAATAGACACACACAGCAGAACGAATTGATTTTTCACAAAGGTGTAAAAGTGTCTTTCCATTCAGCGGAGGAAAGATGGTGATTTCAATGGGTAAAGTTGGAATAATTGGACATTTGAAAGCAAAAAGGCAAAAATCTTGACATAAACTTCACACCTTTCATCAAAATGAACTCAGAATACATCAGAGGGTGTGTGTGTGTGTGTGTGTGTGTGTGTGTGTGTGTGTGTGTGTGTTAGTAACTGAGGCTTGAACTCAGGGTTTAGGTGTGTGTGTGTTAGTAACTGAGGCTTGAACTCAGGGTTTAGGCACTGTCCCTGAGTTTTTTCACTCAAGTCTGGCATTCTGCCACTTGAGCCACAGCTCCACTTCTGGCTATTTACTGGTTAGAATTGGAGATCAGAGTCTTGTGGATTTGCCAATCTAGGCCGGCTTCAAGTTGCAGTCCTTAGAACTCAACCTCCTGAGTAGTTAGGGTGACAGGTGTGAGCCATCAGTGCCTGGCAAAACTATACACCTCTTAGAAAATGTAAGTAAAAATTTTCATGGCCAAACGTTAAGCACAGAGGTCTTCACCGTGATGCCAAGGGCGTAATCCATAAAAGAAAAACAGAATACGATAAATTAGCTTTCATGGAAAGGGACGGTTTTGCTCTGTAGCATTCTTTGTTTAGAAAATAAAAAGAACAAACAAGGAGAAAAGATATAAATAACATCTGACTTAAGATTTGTATGCAGATTATAGGAAGAGCACTCTAACCTTAATAGGAAGAAAACAAACAAGGACACCATCAAATGCTGGCAAAGGGTATGGAGAAACTGGATCGAATTATCGGTGGAATGGAAAGGGTACAGCTACTCTGAAAAACATTGGCAATTTCTCAGGAAAATAAACATAAACCTACCATACAACCACGCAGGACTTTTCTAGGCATATCCCCAAGAGACTTGAAAATGTGATGTTCACACAGGGACTTGTAAGTAGTATTCATAATAGTCAAACGAAATGCTCCCAGCCACTGAAAATGAACATACATCTTAATAATGTCTCCATCTAAAATGTAAGAGCTGGGTGCTGGTGGCTTATACCTGTCATCCTAGCTACTCAGGAGGCTGAGATCTGAGGATCGGGGTTCAAAGCTAGCCTGGGCAGGAAAGTCCATGAGACTCTTCTCTCCAATGAACCACCAGAAAGCCAGAAGTGGTAATGTGGCTCTAGAGGTAGAGCACTTGCCTTGAGCTAAAGAGCTACAGCCCCACGACCAACCCCCCCCCAAAAAAAAGAAAACTGCAGTACTAATATATATCACAACATAGATGGCTCTTGAAAACATGCTACATTAAAAAAAAAAAGCCAGATGTACATTGGATGCTTCCATTTATAAAAATGCTCATAACAGGCAAACCAATAAATAGGCAAATAGCACAAACAAAGTCAGATTTGCATAATAGCTATATGATTTGCTGTCCAGTTAGAATTATCTTTATGGATCTAAGGCTCTATGTGGGTACCCTATAAATCTATACAGTAAATGTATTGCCTCCTGTCCCCAACTCATAACTAACTACCCCCACAAGCATCAGAGACAGAACCTATGTGGGAACTTTATTCAGGAAAGGAGTCATAGATTTAAGGTGCGGGGCTTAGAACAGAAACAGAAGGCTAATCAGCATTCCCAGTTAGTCCTTAATTGTGGCTTGTGGAATTGAGTAATGGGTAGAAAGCCTCTCAAGTATCCCTATTGTTTTCAATTTGGTCAAATGGAAATTCCATCAAGTTTCCTCCCAAAATTCAGTCTCTTGATATGTCTTTTTTTTCCCCCCTCCAGTCTTGGGGCTTGAACTGAGGGCCTGGGTGCTGTCCCTGAGCTTCTTTTGCTCAAGGCTAGCACTCTACCCCTTGAGCCACAGCGCCACTTCCAGCTTTTTCTATGTCTGTGGTACTGAGGAATCGAACCCAGGGATTCATTCATGCTAGGCAAGCACTCTACCACTAAACCACCTTCCCAGCCCTCTTGACATGTCTTGAATGTTTTGCCTTGTGTCTGTCCCTGTGGCAGGTACTGGTGATAGAATAGGCACTCATGGGAAACATGAGCAACAGACTAAGTTTTCCTATTCTCTGGGCTGGCAGGAATGAGCAGAAATCTGCTAGGAGAACAATGAAGCCCAAAGCCATAACCAAAGCTGGAATGGTAAGCAGCAAACCTTACCCCCTACACCATCCACAAGAGATGAGCCTTGGACCAGCTTTGTGCTGGTACAGCCCGGCCTGAGACTTCCAGAACTCCACAGAGAAGAGCTTCAGGGTGTGTGTGTGTGTGTGTCCTGGGCCTTGAACTCAGGGCCTGGGCACAGTCCCTGAGCTTCAGGGTGTGTGTGTGTGCGTGTGTGTGTGCGTGTGTGTGTGTGTGTGTGTGTGTCCTGGGCCTTGAACTCAGGGCCTGGGCACAGTCCCTGAGCTTTTTTTGCTCAAGGCTAATGCTCTACCACTTGAGCCACAGCTCCACTTCTGACTTTGGTTTTTTAGCCATTAGTTGGAGATAAGAATCTCATAGACTTTCTTGCCTGGGCTAGCTTCGGACCATACTCCTTAGATCTCAGCCTCCTGAGTAGCTCGGATGACAGGCACGGGTGAGCCACCAGCACCTGGCTTCTTTAGGTTTTGTTTGTGTCAGCCCTGGGGTTTGAACTCAGGGCCTGGGCGCTGTCCCTCAGCTCTTCAGCTCAAGGTGAGCGCTCTACCACTTGAGCCACAGCCCCACTTCCGCTTTTCTGGTGGTTCATGGAAGATCAGAGTCTCCTAGACTTTCCTTCTCCAGGCTGGCTTCGAACCACAACCCTCAGATCTCAGCCTCATTTAGGTGTTTTAGCCATAAAATTCATGCCACAGACTTGTTGTTAGGTATCTTGATCTGAAAACAGGGTTACTAGATGATCAAGGCCTGATCAGCTGCTGTGTCTCCCAGAGCAGGTGCTAAATGTTGGAAATCCCTGTCACCTAGGCCTTCTTGCCCTCTGGCAATCCCACTATGAAAATCAGAGAATGTGTAACTTGTGAGAGCTTCATTAGCATAATAGGCAGTGGAAATGCAAATTAGTTAGGAACACTAAGAGAAGACACTAAGATTAGAGGGTAAATTGGCAACTATTATTAGATCAAGTGTATCCAGTTACTAGGTTTTATCCAAGAGAACCAGCGAGGCACCAAAGAGATACAAGCCAGAAAAAGCTGGGAGTTTGGGAGCTCAGTACTAGAGTACTAGTCCTAGTACTAGCTCAGTACTAGAATACTTACATAAGTACTAGAGTACTTACCTAGCATGCACGAGGCCCTGGGTTTGATCCTCTGTCCTTCAAACACGACGACAATCAAAAGAATACAAAAAGAGGTGCAGCCAGGGGGTGGTGGCTCACTCATGTAATCCTAGCTGCTCAAGAGGCTGAAATCTGAAGATCACAGTTCAAAGCTCAGTCCGGAAAGTCTGAGACTCTTATTTTCCAATTAACCACCTAAAAGTGGTTCTAGGGGAAAGGTGTGTCTCGAGTGGTAGGGCACTAGCCTTGAGCAAAAAAAGCCTAGGGGACAGCACCCAGGGTTTGAGTTCAAGCCTTAGTAGCAGCGAAAATATAATAAAGGTTGGCAGGGAGATGGAGTAAAGTTGAATAGAAGCTCATAATCATATAGCACATTATGAAGCAACCCACAAATATACGATTGGGATCTTAGAAGAACAGCAGGGAAAGGTTGTAAAAGAAAAAAAATTTTAAGTAGTTGTACAAAAGGGTTTCAATTCTACAAGTAAGATGACGAATACAGCACATCTTGATGAATATCACCCCTTTTCCCATTGTTCTCCATTTTCCCCCCATCCCTTCCATACATAGAAAAATGTTTCAAGGACAGTGACTGGAGTTTTCTTATCTTCAGTTGGGAAAGTAACTACAGACAAGAGAAGTAGAACAGGGCTGGGAAGGTGGCTCAGTGGTAGAGCGCTTGCCTTGCATGCCTGAGGCCCTGGGTTCGATTCCTCAGCACCACATAAGCAAAAAGAAAAAAGCCGGAAGTGGTGCTGTGGCTCAAGTGGTAGAGCGCTAGCCTTGAGCTGAAGAGCTGAGGGACAGCGCCCAGGCCCAGAGTTCAGGCCCCACGACCAGGGACAATAAAAAAACAAAAAAGAAAAAAAAGAGAAATAGAACAGACTCAAAGCACAACAAACGCCAAGAGAGCCAGACTTTCTCCAGAGAAAAATGTCACTAGGAAACCTCGATGCAAATTAACAGCTGACTTCCCGTCAGACTAGAGGCCCAAAGTCATGGAATTGATATATTCCAATCATGGAAGAAAAGAGCTTTTTGGCCAAGAGTGTCAGGGGCTTGGTTCAAGTGGTTGAACACCTGCCCACCATAGTGCAAGACCCTGAATCCAGGCCCCAGTACCACAGAAAGGGAGAGAGAAAGAAACTTTTTTTTCCCTCCAAGAGCTTATGTTTGCCAAATTATCCTTCAAAAACAAGAGCAAAATCAAGGTATTTTAAAACGAGTAAATTGAAAAGCAGTTTTTTCACTACAACGCCTACACTACAGACATTTATCCCCACGGGAAATAGCTTCCTTTGGAATGAAGAGCACCAGAATTTGCAAATATGTGGTAAAAACAAAGTGACAATTGTTGTCGCTTCAGAATGTCTTTGAAAGACAACTTGCCTAAAACAAATATGGTGGTGCTGATTTAGTGTTCACAATGTACACAGATATAATGCATGAGTGTATCTAAAACAATCACCACAAAAATAGAAGATGAGGAGTAGGGTGAATGGAATTGTATTGGTGTGTGTGTGTGTGTGTGTGTGTGTGTTTGTTTGTTTGTTTGTCAGTCATGGGGCTTGAACTCTGGGCCTGGGCGCTGTCCCTCAGCTCTTCAGCTCAAGGCGAGCACTCTACCACTTGAGCCACAGCGCCACTTCCAGTTTTCTGGTAGTTTATTGGAGATAAGAGTCTCACGGACTTTTCCTGCCCAGGCTGGCTTTGAACCATGATCCTCAGATCTCAGCCTCCTGAGTAGCTAGAATGACAAGGCGTGAGCCACCAGCGCCTGGCTATATGTATATTTTTTTGTGCCAGTCCTGGGGCTTGAACTCAGAGCCTGCATTCTGTCCCTGACCCTTTTAGTCAAGGTTAGCACTCTACCAATTGCAGAGCTAAAACAATGATTGACAAAAACTAAATATAATTGCACGAGAAATTTGTCAAAAGACAGAGATTGTCAGTCTGGACAAAGCATGGAGGGACTCCTATGTATTGTTGAATGAAATGCACTATTTATATAAGATGCGCTTGGAATACAAAGACTCAAAAAAAGAGAACAGATAGAAATATAGTGTGTAACATACATGAGAAATTTGGAGTGACTGTGGAGACATCAAAACAACTGGAGAGGGCTGGGAAGGTGGCTCAGTGGTAGAGCGCTTGCCTTGCATGCCTGAGGCCCTGGGTTCAATTCCTCAGCACCACATAAGCAAAAAGAA